TTTGTTTTTTCACCTCATTATGCGCGTAATTGGCATTAGTTTTTGTTTATGTTTGACTAAACATATAAACCACCTTTGTCTTAGTTGCCAGCCAAGTCCTATAAATTTTACGCAAAGATTATTAAAATTCAAAATAATTTTTTATATTTCTACTAGAAGTTTTGATTCGTTTCTGAAATGTCAAATTATAATTTAATACAATAACAGTTTGACACTTCTCCTATTTGGTCATAGCTTTCGCTGATTGCATTGTAAAACTTTGATTTGGTATGACGTGTAGGGGCTGGCGAGTTAGTCAAAGTCATATTCATTAAAAAAAAAAATAGGTCATTCCAGAAAATCAAATCTTTTTTTTTTATTAGAATAAAATCGAATGATTCAAACACTAACAACAGCCGCCCGTTGGTACTTTGATATTATGACTATATAATAAATTTCTAAAAAGAAAATAGGATATAGATATAGTCAATCTATGTCTATAATAAAATATATTTTATATTTTTATTATTATTTAATAATTTAATAATTATATATTTTAATAATTCTTTAACATAATAAGAAAAATTAGTAATTATTTTCGACTTCAAAAAAATATATATCATATCATCATAGTATATTCATAAAATGAGTGACTAATTAAAGGAATTAAAACTAATATTTATATAGTTGATTAGTTTAAAAGGACTTATTGTTAAGATTACAATGTGCTAAATTTGTTTTATACTCTTTTAGCTTGTAATAATTAATAATTCTTAAAAAAAATTATGTGTCTTCAAACTAGTATATATGAAAATTTGTCAATCTATTGTATGATACGTGAATTCGAACGAAGATGTTACAGATTAAATTCAGAAATTATATATGTTGTTCAAATACAATAGTATTCGCAAAAAATTCAAATACTTTATTATTATTGTATGCGTAAAAAAATGTACATTCATTATTATATTTCTTAAACTATCATTATTTTTATAAAAAATATATAATTTTAACTCACACTTTTTATTCTAAAAGCGTGCCAACACAAAACACACTTTCAATAAATAAATTTAGAAATTGACTTTCGTAAGTACAATATTATATCGAAAAGCGCTATTTCAAAGATATAAAAATATAAGTTAAAAGTACGATATTAAGAAAATAAGGTTATAAAATTATGTTTTTTTTTTTGGTAGGATATAAAAAAATGTTTGAATGGTAAAAAAAAACTCATAGAAGGTGTCACTTTCTTTTCTTTTTTTATACTACATAATATTTTTGTATGCCGTTATGATATGATCAGTTACGTAACTGTTATATATCCTATTATAATTTCAAAATCAGCAAACAACCCATTAATATTATGGACTAATAAACTAATAAATCAAAAATGACCTGCATATCCTATATCCCAGCTATTGTAGTAGATTATCACAGTACTACCTCACCCATCGGTGGCGGAGCCAGAAATTTTATCTAAGGTGGGTATTTTACTCAAAAATTTTAAATTTTTTCTCTCAATCAATAAAAATAAAATAATGTATTTAAATTTAAGGCTTATATTTTATACTTAAATACTCATAAAATAGAAAAATTATCAAACGTCGATAAATATAGTGTACACAAATAAAAAAAAGGACTAATTACAACCCTTCACAATAAATGAGACTAATTGTATAAAAGATACTATAATCTTTCTTTATATAACCAATGAAGTTATTAGTCATTGATCACTCATTATTGTATTTAACCTAGTTTCCATAATATCTATAACTTTAAAAATGAGTCTGACATGTCAAAGATTTATTTAAATTTATCCATAAAGTGTTCTAAAAGTTCATAATTATTTAGTTACTTGTCTACATTAATTGGTAGAACAAAAAATAATAGAGTGGTCACATTTAAGTATTCTTGTAATAATTTTAAATATACATAAGTAATATATTTTTTTTTAAAAATTAGGGTGGGTCCGTGCCTCTGGTCCTCATGTGGCTCGGCCATTGTCACTTAAGTACCAAACCAATGCCGGACCTTATGTAAAATCGTTTCTCTACACAAAAAGGATAAATCTATAAATGATAATCCCAAGAGACTACTCTTCGTCGGATATTTGCACTGCACAATTACTACGGTCTAATATCTCTATTTTAGTTCAAAATCTAAACTAGATCAAACCACTTTGAGATTAATACGTTTTATCCTCTCTTTTTTTGTCTTTTTTTGTCTGCGATCTAATATCTCTATTTTAGTTGAGTAAATATTGAATGTAATAGTGATATCATGTCACCATTGATGACATGGTATCACCTATTAATAATAAAACTCCAAATGAGAAAAGTGAGCCCCACTTGAGCTTACATGGTAGGAGAGTGAGAAGTTATATGCTTATATGACAAGTTAGTTATTACTTTTTGTGGGGTTTATGTGCTTAGTTGTTTTAGTATTATTAATTTGTGATACCATATCACCTTGTCAAGTGATGTCACCGTTGTAATGAATATTTTCTCATTTTAGTCCATAATCTAAACTAGATCAAACCACTTAGAGATAAATACGTTTTATCCTCTCTTTTATGTCGTTTTTAAGATTTTTCATACATTACAAAAATTAATTATTAATACACACTGCTGAGTTGGTTACCATTAATTATTTTCAACGAAATTAAATAAAGGGACAATTCTTGTCAGAGTCAACAATTGGTTTCAAATGTCCTTTTTAAAAAAAAAATATATATATTGTGATTTTCTCTGAGATTTCTCTAGACCTTTTCTTTTTTTTTGAATCTTTCTTATCAACTATTGGTGCAATATTTATTGTTGTAATAATGGATTTGTAATATTAAAGAGATCTACCTACGGATGTACGTAAAAGTAAAGCACATTGGGAAAATTAAAAAAGAAATACAGCAGCACTTTTTTTTTCAATGAGACCGACTAAAGTCGGGTTTGATAAAATTGAAAATTAAAGTTTAAAAATTGAAAATTAAATTCTGAGTGTTAATTTTGTGAACTGTTTGATATCCACTGAAATTTAAGTACTGAATTGAACTAAACTGTTTGATAATTACACAGAATTGACAACTGATAATAGTATTAAAAAAAATATTATTTGCACTTAATTTAGATATTTGATTTAATTATGTCATTAAATTAAAATTGGGCACCATTTAATATTAAAATTTACAATTAAGTCTTTAATTAGATCCCAATTAACTGATCATGATTAAATTGAATTAAATCTGTAATCAGGTCCTATAGCATTGCTCATAGGTTGGTGATAACGTTTGCCGCTGACCATGCCTCGGTTTATGCGTAGGATCGTCGAAGTCTATTCAACGCCTTGAAGCATAAGCATTATTCAAATATGGGTTTGAAATCTTCTAGCCTTGACATTTTGCCTGAAAGCCCCGCAGTCTAACAGTCATGAGTGGTCTGTCACGTGATAGTTCGTTGACAATTCATTAGCTTGGCTGAGAGACCCGATTTGATCAAGGAAGAAAGCCCGCACCCGATCCATCTCGACTCACCGAAATCCAAAAAAGAAATGAAAGAAATAACAAGAATGTGAGAAAATTAAACATTGAAAAAGTGAAGTCTATAATGCCCACCCCCTAGCCCAATGGTGGCTCTGCCCTCGCTTGGGTTAGATCACCCTAAGAGATTTAGTGTTGGATATTAAAATCGACAAACTTATCACATCAATTTTTATAATTCATAGGGTTGTTCTTGCATAAAAAAGATTCTCGATTTTAATAACGTGATGGAATTAAAATGGACGAAAAAAATACGTAGGAATAAAATTCAAAATAATTGCTATTTATTAGATAGGTTAGTCATAACTAGTATTTGAAGGCAAAATGCAACATAAAAATTGAACGCCCACAAATTGATCCCGCTACCAAATAACAATTATTTTAGAGAAAGCGTTAATTTTTTTTTTTCAAAAGAATCGTTTTATAAAAAATATCAATATGTGTACACTATTGTATATAAATAATATCTGAAAACTGATTCTATTTGTAATAAAATGTGTGATGTGATAGAAATAGGGAGAAAATATTTTGAGGATAAAATTCAAAGTTGTAACAATCTATCTAATTAGATTACATTCATATAGATTATTTTTGTGAATGATGAATGTGTTTTATTTTATTTTTATTTGAAGTAAAACATTTACCGGAAAAAATGTTATGGGATAGTATGATTAAATACGTACCAACTGTAATACAGTATGCAGAGTAAATAAGTTCCCAACTGTAGAAGAGGCGGCACGGCATAGAATAGGAGATTGTGTGCCCGTGTCGCTACCCAACCTTTGACTTCCTACTCTCTCTCACTCACTCTCTCTCTCTCTCTCTCTCTCTCAATCTCTCTTTGTCCATATCTCTGTATCTCGGAGCTCCACAACACATTAAAGGATTGCTCTATATTACTATCTCGAACTTGACTGGCTACAGCCGGTCTCTTCCCATACTTCCATCCCGGTGACCGTACTTCATCACCTTCCCCTCTGCCTCAGACACATATCGGGCTTCATACCTGGCTTCCTAAAATCTCTCTGAATAATTTCTCTCTCTCTCTCTCTCTCTCTCTCTCTCTCTCTCTCTCTGTGAGTGTGTGTAAAGCATCAACCTGGTGTAGTGAAAGAGCCGCAGCCTGCCTTTTGGAACAAAAAAGCTTGCTCTGGGGTGAAAAACCCATTGTCTCTCTCCCTCTTTACCTACATCTCAACTCATTATATTTCTTTCTGACAGGTCTGTCTTTTCCTTTTGCTCTGATTTGTTCGTTTTTGGTTCATTCTTATTCTGTGGAGCAAAGCCCGTCATTTTGTTGTGCAAAATTCTTGGTACCTTACTGTTATATCTGTGCTTTGATCGCAAAGAATAATGATGATTACCACAAATCTTGATTTATCTTATGGGTTTCCTTAGAACCTGATTTCAACCACACCCCCCCCCCCTCCAAAAAAAAACCCAATCGGTCTCTGGTGGTTGTGTATGTAGGACGTTGTCATTTGTTGAGATGGATATAGTGGAGTTTTGGGTGTTGTTTATTGTTCTTGGGTTTTCTTTACAAGCTCAGGTTTTGAGTTCTCAGAACCTGACCTGCAATTTAAATGATCTGAAGGCATTAAGGGATTTCATGAATTCTGTGGAATCACCTATTGTTGGATGGGACACTAATTCATCTTCTTCCAATTGCTGTAATTGGGTTGGTATTACATGCAATTCTTCATCCGCACTTGGATTAAACGACCCAATAGACTCCAGTAGGGTGGTCAGGGTTGAGATAGGGAGGAGAAGACTAATGGGAAAACTCTCTGAATCTTTAGGCAATTTGGACCAGCTTAGATCGCTTAATCTCTCTCATAATTTCCTTCATGGCTCGCTTCCGTCGTTGCTGTTACATTTGTCAAATTTAGAGGTTTTGGATTTGAGCAACAATGACTTCTCTGGCTTGTTCCCTATGAGTATAAACCTACCTTCAATTCAATTCATCGACATTTCAGAAAATTCCTTTGAGGGTCTTGTGCCTGTGGGCATCTGCAATAACTCGACCCGACTCACAGTTTTGGATATGGCAGTGAATAATTTCTCTGGAAATTTTCCAGCAGGAATTGGGAATTGTAGTTCATTGGAACACCTTTGCCTTGGTTCAAATTTTCTCACGGGTGGTCTACCAGAAGATCTTTTTCAGCTACCAAGATTGACTTTACTGACTCTTCCAGATAACAGGTTTTCCGGGCAATTGAGCAGCAGTATCGGCAACCTCTCTGACCTTGTTCGTTTGGATCTCTCATTAAACAGGTTTTCAGGGAACATACCTGATGTTTTTCATGGCTTTAGAAATCTAAAATATTGTGCAATTCAGTCCAATAATTTCAGTGGTCGGATACCCTTTTCACTTTCCAATTCTAGGACTATTGCTTCTCTTAGTTTGAGAAACAATTCTTTGGATGGCTCAATTGATCTTAATTGCTCAGTAATGACTAGTCTTGTCTCACTTGATCTGGGCTCCAATCAATTCTATGGGTTAGTTCCTGATAATCTTCCCTCTTGTCCACAATTGAAAAACATAAATCTTGCGAGGAACAACATTACTGGCCAAATCCCAGAAACCTTTAAGAATTTTCAGCGCCTCTCTTACCTTTCCATCTCGAATTCCAGCATTTATAACATCTCGGCTGCCCTTGATATACTACAGCATTGTCAGAACTTAACTACTCTGGTTCTTACCCTGAATTTTCGTGATGAAGCATTGCCTTCTTATCCAAGTCTTCAGTTTAAAGCACTGAAGGCTCTTATTATTGCCAATTGTGGACTCACTGGTTTGGTTCCCCAGTGGTTGAATGGTTGCAGAGATTTGCAGTTGCTGGATTTGTCCTGGAATAGTTTGGAGGGAACAATCCCTGCCTGGTTTGGCGGTTTTCAGCATCTTTTTTACCTGGACTTATCTAATAACTCTTTAACTGGGGAGATTCCAAAACACCTTTCTGGATTGCAGAGCCTCATCTTTCGGAATATCTCATTGGAAGAGCCTTCACCCGATTTTCCATTCTTCCTGAAAAGAAACAGTGGCAGAGGGTTGCAGTATAATCAAATATGGAGCTTTCCGCCAACTCTGGAACTCAGTAATAACTTTCTCACTGGACCCATTTGGCCAGAGTTTGGGAATTTGAAAAAGCTACACGTGTTGGACCTCAAGTGCAACAATCTATCGGGAACCATTCCCAGTGGTTTGGCCGGTATGACAAGCATAGAAACTTTGGATTTGTCCCATAACAATCTCTTTGGATCAATACCCCCTTCATTGGTGAACCTCAGTTTTCTGTCCAAGTTCAGTGTAGCTTACAACAATCTCTCAGGGGTAATCCCTACTAGAGGCCAATTTGCTACCTTTCTGAACTCAAGCTTTGAGGGAAACCAAGGTCTTTGTGGAGAACCCCCTTCCTCGTGTCAGGCTGGTGACCGTGTTCGTCGTGAATCAGCCACCAAATCAAAGAAAAAGAAAAAGAAAGGAACTATAATTGGAATGGCTGTTGGAATTGGATTTGGCACCGCATTTCTTCTTGCTCTCATGTTCTTAATTGTTCTGAGGGCAAGTAGTCGAAGGGAGATAGATCCTGAAAAGGAGGAACCAGATGCTACTGAAAAGGATTGTGAAGAACTTGGTTCTAGTTTAGTGGTTCTTTTCCAAAACAAGGAGAATAATAAAGCTGTCTTCCTTGATGACCTCCTGAAATCTACGGACAATTTTGATCAAGCAAACATCATTGGTTGTGGGGGATTCGGTTTAGTGTACAAGGCAAACCTGCCTGATGGTAGGAAGGTTGCTATCAAACGGCTCTCTGGTGAGTGTGGGCAGATGGAGAGGGAATTCCGAGCTGAAGTTGAAGCACTCTCAAGAGCTCAGCATCCAAATCTCGTCCATCTTCAGGGTTATTGTACATATAAGAGTGACAGGCTCTTAATATACACTTACATGGAGAATGGTAGCTTGGATTATTGGTTGCATGAGAAACCGGAGGGGCCTTCCTTACTTGACTGGGATACGAGGCTTAGGATTGCTCAAGGGGCGGCAAGAGGCCTGGCTTACTTGCACCAATCATGTGAACCCCATATCCTTCATCGAGACATAAAGTCAAGTAATATCCTCTTAGATGAGAATTTTAAAGCTCACTTGGCTGATTTTGGTCTTGCAAGGCTCGTACTTCCCTATGACACCCATGTCACCACTGATCTTGTTGGAACTTTAGGCTACATCCCTCCGGAGTACGGCCAAGCTTCTGTTGCGACTTATAAGGGAGATGTGTACAGTTTTGGAGTTGTTCTCTTGGAGCTTCTTACTGGAAAGAGGCCAATGGATATATGCAAACCCAAAGGAAGCCGGGATTTGATCTCTTGGGTAATTCAAATGAAGAGAGACAAGAGGGAAACTGAGGTGTTTGATCCGTTTATCTATGACAAAGAACATGCTAAGGAAATGTCCTGGGTTCTTGAGATTGCTTGCCTTTGCTTAAGTGAATCCCCTAAGATTAGGCCTTCTACTCAGCACTTAGTTTCTTGGCTGGACAACATTGATCTTAGCATTTAGTTTTGTTCTATGTTTATGTTAGTGGGGGGAAACTCTTGTCTATGGTAAGTAAGAGAATGAGAATGACCACTTATATATGGTGCCTTGCACATACCAGTTTCCTGCTGTATATACTTACTCACAAAGACAAACCTATCTGTAAGTCATTACATTCAACTTTTGTTTCTTTCTTCCATTAAAGAGAAAAGTTGCTTCTCAAACATTTATAAGATAAAGCTAGTTTTCTGCATTTCTCACATTATATGATGATGCTTCATAGTCCTGCAAAATAAAATGTACTCACTTCATATCATGGGTCAAGGACATACGTTTAGACAAATTAGTATATTTTATTTTTTAATTTATCGTACATGTTCATAAATTCATATTTATTAAAATTATATTTAATACTTGAAAATTTATTAAAACGTAAAAAGTTAAAAATCTTATCAATTTGAAAGAATTATGTGTTTAGGTCCTTAAATTAGGTTTATTAAACTTAATATTACAATACATTAGATCCTTAAATTAAGTTTCAATAACATTTTTGGAAAGTTAATAATCATTTACCCAAATCGATATCAACATAACATATTAATAGGGTAGAAATAATTAAATATGTCTAAATTTTATTTCAAAATGATATAACCAATCTCATAGATCCAATTCAATCTTTTATAACGATATATCGTACTCTCTCGACCAAGTCATCATAAAACAATACTGTTAAATCATTTCAAAATGAGAGAAGGTCAGTAATTAAAATACACTGGTATGATATGTACCATGTTATCACTACCACATAGTGTCACCATCGAATTAGAAAATAATAAATAGGTAAAGTGGATTCTACGTGACAGTGATGGTGTAGTGTCACCGTTACATTAAATATATACTCGTTTATCATTCAATTTTATATAAAACTGGTGACGATCTTGTGCAATATTACGGATAGTCATCCGTTAAATCCCATGACATCCTCTCCGTTTTTGATATTATGGAAAACTACTCATCATTAATATTTATTTTTAATTTCAAACAAGTTATTATTTGCGCAATAAATTTGATTAAATGAAACCATGTTTTAATTAAATAAGTCAAATGATGTATGTCAGTGTTTTATTCCACCGCAGACACGGCAAGGATGTGATTCTCTTCAAAGTAATCAATAATTGTTTGAAAATAAAGTATTCGACAGATGTTCGTTTACGAACTAAATCGATAATGAAGTATCATTGAAACTATGCATTTTTCAGATATATGATAATTTTACAATTTTGAAATGTGTGATTTGAAAAACGCATACATCGAATCACTTGAGACTTCTCCAATGAAATTTGAAATTGGAACTTTGAATTAATAACCATTGTGATGGCACCGTGGCTTGTTCTTCCTCTGAGTTTTGACAATCTTTTTTCAATGTAGTCTGGCTGTCTGGCTAAGGTTCATGAAAGAATAAATTCGGATTTTCCTTTTCATTCATTTGACATTTCGACCCATCGAAAACTCTTGGTCAATAAGTTGGTATCGTGGACAAATAACAAACTCTCGTTAATTGAATGTATTTGCTATTTTTAAATTTGACTTTTGTCTACTTTCTACCTAATATGGAGGCCGTTTGAAATCAATGCTGTGACAGATGGCGGGTCAACTCTGGCAGAAATATACTTTATATATCTCTCCCCTCTTAATAATATCCTTTAAATATTGCACCGTTTGTGATTACTTTTATTTAAGCATAACAGCAATTTTAAAAAGAATAATCATCTTATTTCTATTTTGTAAAGTAAAAGTCATATATATATATATATATATATATATATATATATATATATACTCCCTCCGTTCCTAAATATTTATCGTTTAAGATTTTTGCACAGGAAATAAGGAAGCTATTAAATAGTTGTAACATGAGTAAAAATAATTACACAAGACTAAAATATCCTTATTCAATAAATATTGGGAAGAAAAGTAATATGAAATACACTTAACCTCAACTTAATCTAATGCATTGAAAAATTAAAGATAAATTTGAAAAAAAAAATATTTATTATGTTTTAATTTCATTAAACGACAGATATTATGAAACAAAAAAAATTATGTAAAACGACAGATATTTAGGAACGAATGGAGTATATATGAAATGTATCATCTATTGATAAATATCATCATTTTTTTATTTGAGGCTCTGGGCAATCGCACTAGCCTAGAATTTGAGCCAGCCATGATGATAAATATGTTTATAGTCAGTTTGAAAAAAAAAAAAATCATAAATTCGGTTAAGAAAAAGGCCAAAAAAAAGAACATTAGAAATACAGCACAGTGCTCACGTAATCTAGTTGACAAGGCTGCACCAAACATTTAAGTCCAGTTCCAGTGCATGGCCATGGCCCCCCTAAGGGTAAATGATGATGGGAGATCTTAGACTTGTCAAGAGAATAACGTAAAAACTTCCCGTGATGAATAATTCCTTCGTTGCATATAATGTTTTAGTTTGTACTCCTTTATCTTCATTTGCAATATCCATATAGTTTGGGTTTAGTTTGAATTTTCGATTAACATCCAACAATTGACACAAAATTCTAGTTTAATACAATAATAAAACAATTCTTCATAATTTTAAAGTTTTTAGTGTGTTTGTGTCCTTCAAGAATATTCGGTAGTTGAGAAACGTACGTAACACTACAAAGAAGACACATAATGTATTTGCTTTGAGGAGAAAGCAACAAATATGTATAATTATACGGGGGTTAAAAAGCCATTTTGTCAAAAATTCCAACTTTTGACTATGATTTTCAGTTTTAACGAAACTTTAATTTTATCACTTTCTTCAAACTATTGGGGAAAAGTTGAAGACTTTCAAAACTATAGGCAGGTAAAGTTTTTGACTCCAAAATAAAAGGAGAGAGATAGAGAGTGCCTTCCTCTATCACATTCCCTATGCTGTTTTATGCATCCCGTCTATGTTTAGTAATTTTATTAAATAGCATAATTGGTCTCTGAACTTTATTTTTAATTTTAATTTGATTTCTGAACTTTTATTTTTCTCAATTTAGTCCCTCAATTATCAATTTTGTGTTACTTAAGTCATTTCATCTAGTTCCACCTTTAGATCAGTTGTAAACTAGTACAATTTGATCCATTTCAAGCGTTAAATCACATGTTTCTGTTTTGATCTAATGGTGAAAATTGACGTAAGAACTTAATTAAGACAAAATTGATAGTTGAGGGACTAAATTGAAACAATTAAAAATTTGAGTACCAAATTAAAATTGAAGGCAAAGTTTAGAGATGAATTGTGATATTTATCCATTTTTTTTTATAGTTGTCACATTTTTTTTGTTGATGTAGAACTGATTGTAATTAGATTATTTAGAGCGGGAACACCCTTATGCAATCAAATCACAACGGAAGACGACAAAGTATTAAAGCAGGATCAATGCCATTTGATTCTAATTGGACCAACGATTTAGAGCATCTATAATTGACTCTTTATTTTCACTTAACTTTCTATTTTATAAAGTCAATTACCAAAAATCAGGTCCAATAGGTTATTTATTTAGAGTAGCTAAAATAGATAGCGGACTCTCCACTGGTCCACTCTCTATTCTATTTTTAAATTAATGAAAAAATGATAATAGACATTTTTCATTGAATGCTCTTGATTATATGACCATTTTTCTGCATGAATAGAAAGCTTATTGGAGTTGACTAAAAAAATTCACTCTATTTCAATTTTTTTTATCAAAGATGTTCTCTATTTTTTTTTTTTTAAAAATACTCTAAAATAGAGAGTATTATTAGAGATGCTCTTAGATGAATTTTTTTATTCTAGGATTATTAGTTGCCTAAATTATGGCAACTTTCTTAAATTCTATTGGGCATGAGTTCTATTTGTTTTTGATAACTTCCTCATGAGACTTTCCTAAACTCCATTCAACTTGTGTTTTATTTTGTTTGATAGCTTTCTTAAAGTTAGGGTTTTAATTCCATTTTGGAATATCTAGCACATGTCAAAATTCAATGAAATTTAAAATCTTCCATGTATCACTTATCTAATATTGTATTGAGAAATTTTTTAAAAAGAAGTAATAGAGGAGATCTAAATCCATTAAACATAACCCTATTATTTGAAGAGATAATGAGATGTAAGTACCTTTTTCAAAACTTATTTGACTTTAAATACCACCTCTAAACTTATCCTCCTTTTAAGTCCTCTTTTTTATGAAATAGTTGTCAATAAGTACACATTTTAAAACATTTTCAAATTCTTTTTAAAATGTATTCCATAATTACCCCTATCATAAATCGTGCATACCTACTTGAATGTAAAACTTTCAAGATTAGAATGTGAGACTTTCAAGATTCCTTTTGATATTTGTGTATTATTTGAATTTTAAAATTATATATACACACACACACGTAATACAGTGACATGAAATAGTGACTCACTCAACAAAAAAATAGTAACATCAAACAGTGACATGCTCAACAAAAAATTTTGGTGTTACTATTTGATGTTATTATTTTTTTGTTGAGTGTGTTACTGTTTGATGTTACTCTTTTTTTGTTGAGCATGTCACTGTTTGATGTTACTATTTTTTTGTTGAACGTGTCACTATTTCATGTCACTGTATTACGTGTATGTGTGTGTGTGTGTGTGTGTGTGTGTGTATATATATATATATATATATATATATATATTCAAAATTTAAATAATATACAAATATAAAAAAGAATCTTGAACATCTCACATTCTAATCTTGAAAGTCTCACATTTAATTAGGTATGCCATATTTATGGTAGGGGTAAAAAGAATTTTATGACTTTTTATTAGCATATGTACTTCTATCCCAATTATTTTAAAAAATATACTTTTATCCTATTAAGTTTTTTGACAGGTACCGACCTCCCTAAGTCCCTTATTTGAAACGACATTAACTTTCTTGTTCGTGTTTGTTTGTACTAAAGATGTTTGTACACCGATATCCACGAATATTTAAAACTATAAATTATACCTA